AAGGCTGAGGCAGAAGGATCACCGGAGCCCTGTAGGTCAAGGCTGCGGTGGCCGGGAGCAGCCACTGCACTCCACTCACAGAGTGAGACTCCAACTCAAAAAAAAACAAAGAAACAAAAAAAAAAAAACCCAAACCAAAACCAACCAACCAAACAACAACAACAACAAGAAGAAGAAGTGAGGTTTAGAAAGACCAAGTAACATTCAGGGTTACACAGAGAGATAGTATACAAAAGAATTAGGATTCAAACTCACCTGATCCTAAACATTGATTTTTCTCTCTCCACGATAAATAGTACCATACTGTCTCTTACATTTTTTTAAGATATTAGTTTTAAAGTTGTTTATTTTATAAAACCTTATTTCCTAGGTCTTATGGTTGGAAAAAGCTTGTTAAATTTGATGACTTAAGAATGGAAAAACCTAGCCGGGCTTGGTGGCTCAGCCTGTAATCCCGTACCTTTGGGAGGCTGAGGTGAGTGGATTGCCTGAGCCCGCGGGTTCGAGACCCGCCTGGGCAGTGATACCTCATCTCTACAATAAATCAAAAAATCAGCCGGGCGTGGTAGCGCATGCCTGTAATTCTGACTACTTGGAAGGCTGAGGCAGAAGGATCACTGGAGCCCAGCAGGCGAGGCTGTGGTGGCCGGGAGCGGCCACTGCACTCAAGTCTGGGTGACCGAGTGAGACTCCAACTCAAAAAAAAAAGAATGGAAAAACCTTTAAGCAAGCAAAGAAATGAGTTTTCTTCTCAAAATATAAACTACTAGACTGTGATTCTACCATCATCTGCTTAATTCAGTACATGCTGTTTTTTTAAGAAGCTACAATAAGTATGTGTATTCAGGGCAACACTAATTGGTATACACATTCAGGAAGAGGCAGATTACAAGACCTATCTACTGTAAGAAGAGAGAGGAGGAGGAGAATTGCTCTCAACCTCCACCTCCTGCTGGTTTCTGTTACTAGTAAACTTTCCTATCTAAGCTCTTGGCACTGCAGGAAAACATTTCTCTGAGCAAGTTCTCTGATCAGTAACCATACCCATTTCTCTCTCATTTTGCTCTAAAAAGATAAAAGGAAAAAGGTGTTTGTCTAGTATCACTATTCTCCCTCTCTGCCGTTTATGGCAAATGTCTACACTTCAACAGCATACCTATCTCTTCATCAAAACTTTGGTTATGAGATCCAAAGAGCCTCTTTCTAAAGTATTTACAGTCCTTTCACATTGATTATCAACTCATCTTCCTGACCTTACATTGTACCTTTATTTCCTACTACCTAATTGCTTGGTTATGTCTACCTGACACACATTGTTCTCTCCCACAGAAGAATTCATCCAATTATTTTCCTTGCTTTTAACCTGCCGAATACCAAGCCTAGGAGATATCTGACCTGTATCACATAGCCTGATGCCTAGAATGCTGATATAGCAGGATTCTCAAAAAACTTGAGTCTGGTGAACGTAAGCTGAGTAACTAATGTCAGCAAAGATAGATGTAAGAAACTCTTTGAGATGTATTAGAGCACTACTTTCAAAGATATATGCCAGCTGTGGGCTTCTGGGAAAGAGGTATTTTCTAATTCACCTGGTATTCAGCAGATGAATTAGAGAGGATAATTCTTTTTTTTTTTCTTTTTTGAGTTGGAATCTCACTCTGTCGCCCAGAATGGAGTGCAGTGGCCGCTCCCGGCCACCGCAGCCTCAACCTGCTGGGCTCCAGCGATTCTTCCGCCCCAGTCTTCCAAGTAGCTGGAACTACAGGCGCGCGCTACCACGCCTGGCTAATTTTTTGATTTATTGTAGAGATGAGGTCTCGCCAAGTTGCCCAGGAGGGTCTTGAACCCTCGGGCTCAGGCAATCCACTCACCTCAGCCTCCCAAAGCACGGGATTACAGGCTGAGCCACCGAGTCTGACTTTTTTTTTTGAGTCGGAGCCTCACTCCATTACCCAGGTTGAAGTGCAATGGCATGTGTACTCACGGCCATCCCAGTGTCAACCTGCTAGGTTCCAGGGATCCTTTCACCTCAGCAGGAACTACAGGCACACACTGCCACACCCGGCTCGTTTTTTTTATTTATCGTAGAGATGAGGGCTCGCCAAGTTGCCCGGGCTGGTCTCGAACCTGTGGGCTCAGGCAATTCACTCGTCTTGGCCTCCCAAAGTACTGGGATTATAGGCTGAGCCACCGAGCCTGGTTGAGAGGATAATTCTTTTTTTTTTTGAGTTGGAGTCTCACTCTGTCACCCAGACTGGAGTGCAGT